TCCTTTAACACAGAGCGTCTTCAGAGGACAAGTTGATAAAGTAAATTTAAAAAATCTGTATTGTAAAATAAAATATCAGTGCTCCGCTCCTGAACCCATCATCTACTTAATGCAACATAATTCTTTATCTTACAATTAATCTCAAAATCTTTTTATAGCCATTTATTCCAGGGGCAGTGACATCATGGCTTACTTTTGAGGAAAGGGGCATCTGTTAGTTTGGGATTTTGTAAAAAAATAATAATAATTAAATTGATGCTGTAAGCTTATTAGTTATTCTAAAAGGCACTTTGTATTTAGGGGCTAAAGGCAATACCTCTGTCAAAAAGCTGGCCAGCTGCAAATCTGAAAATCTCCAGGACAAAAAAAGTACCTCCCACGTGTGGATCCATGTGTTYGAATGTGTCAACACTTCAGTGGTAATAAATAACAGAAGAGAGGTCGAGAGTTTCATTCCTGGCTGTACCTGAGCTTTTATGTCTTCAGGAGAGTGTTCAAAAATGTCAATGGTGGAACTGATAGGCACATATTTTTCCAAAGAGAAGATAAAACTCMTCCAGAAGCTTCCTGGAAATGAGTACAGCAACAAAACCGATGGCTTTGATCATAATTTATTTCCATTTGAACGTTTTTGTCTTATAAAATGTTCCGTTAGAACATCTCCCACCTGATCAGTTCAGAGGAGAAACGAGCCAACACGAAGAGGTGATCGAGGACACATTCATCTCTGAGCTGACACCCCCCCCCCACCCCCACCCCAAACACCAACAGTGAAAGGAAATGAAGACGTCTCAAACAACTATTCTGAAAAAAAAAAGTGCTTGGTGGAAGAGAGCCAGCGCAAAGAATCGTGTTTTCTCCAACTTTTCAAAACATGAACTCTGAGAAGTTTAGGAGCCGGGAAAAATGAAAACAAGTTCTTCATCATTTGGAGGTCTGGAATGAAAAACAGGAGCAAGCAAGTGGGTACAGCTCCTAAACTCTGTTTACACCTCTGTCCTTATTGAGGCTGGATTGTGATGGTTACTCTCAGAATATAAAAATATAATAACATTTTATTTTATTTTATGTATTTTATTTACCTTTTTTAACCAGACAACATCTGAACATGCAAAAAAACAGGTATTTTAAACTAACAATAATTATTATTATTATTATTATTATTATTATTATTATTATTATTATTATTATTATTATTATTATTATTATTATTATTATTATTATTATTATTAAATCATAAGCAGAACAAATACAGATCGTTTATTGACTCCACACAGATTTACTGTAAAATAATCTGAACWTTGTTTTAAYGATGATTCAATCTTCTGTTTTTGGCTCCTTCCTGTCATCACCTCCATGAAAAATTTTACAAACAAGATTTAACACATTTTTCGCATCCATTCGTGAACTACCGAGCACGAGGGTGGGGAGGCACATTTTGTCACCATTTGTTAGCAGCGAGCGGATTAAATATGAGATTTATAGCTGGTGTTTGCATAAGAAAACTGTTCCAGCTTTGAGTTATTATCAAGAATTTCCAGAAATTTCGTCAACGGGAACTTTCAGGTGGATTTTTAATGTTCATAAGTGCAGAAACTGCCCTTTTAGTCTGCAGGCCTGGCTGACACTGATAGCGATCGTGCTTGACCCTTGTTGGGTCACTCCCTTGTTTTTTATCTCAGGCTTGTTAGCAAATTGCTTCCTGTCAAAGCTATGACAAATATCAGCTGAAATGTTTAGAAACGGAAGCGCTGCTGTGATTTTTGGAGATGGAGAGTCACTGATTTGTGCGATGCAGACACTGGCGGTTTGTTCTGGCCTTCTGCGGCGGCTCCTCCCATTGAATTCGACCCCTGGCTTCCTGAAATTCAAATGTTATCAGCAAGTATGTGCTTCGAGTGCTATTCATCACACTTTGATCTTCGGGGCTGCAGAATAAAAACTGAAGAGGGCTGTAAAGTAATAAAGAGCAACAGTTTAATGGATTCTTTGCTCATTCCTGCTTCAGAGGTTAATAGCTTGTATTGAAAAAAAGAAAACAAATCTAAACTGAACTAGACATGGGTTTTTACGATGTAAAAACAAGTGTGCATTGCCTTTTAGCATGCCATTGCAGCATGGCTTTGCCTGCAGCATTGGACTTGCAGAACGAACTTTGACCAAGTTCAAATGTGTTTGCTAGACCAGCTTGTGCCTGTCACATCAGCAGGTGTTTATAATTAAGGTAATTGTGTGACAATATGAAGTTTGAAGAGATAGATTTTTTGTTTAAGGTGCGTTAGCTGGGTTTTGAACCCTGATTTCCCACATGAAAGTCCATACCATAGACCATTAGACCAATGGCGCTGTGGTGGAGGGTGGTGGCAGGGGTTGGTTTGTATGTGTGCAGAAAGAGGCCACATTGCCAATACAATTATTGACACAAAAATGCATAATATTACAACAATAAAGCAATATTAAGACAATATTATAGTAAAACATCAAAATACAATCATATTAGTATTGTAAACACGGAACTATTGAGATTAAATATAAAAAAAACTATGGTGCAGTACCAAGTTGAGTAGAGCTGGGGGCAGTATTGGACCATTACAAGGWTGACTGCCATTACATGAATTTGGAATAAAGTTTAAACATTAACATTTAAAAAAYTACAAGTTTTACAGGCACCAAAAGGCATAGCCATCATTTGGCACAGGGGCTTTACAGATATAAATTACAATGGCAGCTCTAGGACAAAGTATGCAGGAGGAGAAGCATGGCAAAGTTGAGATGACTTGGATGGGAAACGAATCACAATAGTGTGCATTGCATTTGCAATGCACACTGACTAGAGCATCGCCTCGGTTTGAACTCAGACTGGTTTTAAGTGATGAATGTTACCCATTAGCTTTGATTTGAAGCTTTTTATTTTTAGATAATGTTTGATTCAAATCTATATGAAGAAAATTAGCTCTTTGAAGCCTACTATAGTGCTAATAACCTAAGAAATCTGTTTTCAATCATTTAATCATGTCTGTTTAAAAAAAAACTTTCTGAATGAAGTCTTTATTGAAGCCAGATGATTTGGGGGTCTGATTCATATCTGCCACCAATCAGCCAATCACTTTAATCACCTGGTATTTGATACTTTTTAAATAATCATCTATTGGCCATAATTTACTGATTAGCAAGTAGGAAAATGAAAAGGAAGCACCAGCTGCTACAATCCGTTCACTGCGGGCCATAATTTAGTGTTAATTGTATATTATGTTTAAGTTCTTCTAAGAGGGGTTATTTCTTTAAGCAGCTATGTTATATTTTTGCTAAATAAACTATGCATTCTAACCAAAAACAACAAAATAATAAAACTGCTTGTGCAACGATCGTCAGCTGCCCAGATTTCTACAGATCAAATCAGCATCAGTCGACAACACAAGATCTTTGTTTAAATGTCTGGCATGCAAAGCTATGGGATAAATCTTGTGCCAGCAGGAATTGAATTTGAATTGTTTGGATTAAATCTGAATGTGCATAATTTGAAATTGAATGCATTGGTTTGAAAATAAATTTCACTAAATTGAAATCGAATTTAAGGATTTAAATTGAATTCAAATTTCTGAATTTGAAATAATTTTCTTTTAAACTGTATTTTTGGTTTATTAAAAATTCAGTTTGATTACTTTCACTTTCAGTTCCATAATTCAATTTTAGTTCCAAAATTCAAATTTTTGTGTCACACATCCTGGTCCTTGAGAAAGCCAGCCAGAGTAATCAAACACAGATCCACAGATTTACGTTTCACTTTAGTGATGTTTCCCTTCTGTATGTAACAGAGTTGATGCAATCCACCGTAACTTGTCACGTTTACGGTGGATTGCATCAAATCTGTTACATTACAGATGGGAAGCCTCACCGAAGTGAAACGTAAATCTGTGGATCTGTGTTTGATTACTGTGGCTGGCTTTCTCAAGGACCAGGATGTGTGACACAAAAAATCTGAATTTTGGAACTGAAATTGAAAGTAATCAAACTGAATTTTTAATAAACCAAGATATAGTTTCAAAGCAAATTAATTCAGTTTCAAACCATTGAATTCAGTTTCAATTTAGTAAAATTCATTTTCAAACCAATGCGTTCAATTTCAAGTTAAGCACATACAGATTCAATCCAAACAATTCAAATTCAATTCCTGCTGGCACAAGATTTATCCCATATAAAGCACACATTRTGCATTTTTTTCAAGGACTGTAGGGTTCATTATTTAAGAATTTATGTCAATAATGATGTATTATAAAGATGCAATAAAATGTTTGTATTTATGAGTTAGTAAGGTAGGTAAAAGTTGCAGAAACGTGGGAAAAAAATGCATGTTTGCTCATCATTTCAGATAATTTCAGCTGTTTTCCCCCGAGTGAAGCCCACCCTACATTTGTGTCCAAAGGCCCCCCTCTTCATATTTAGCCTGTCATGTCTGTGCTGCACCCCTGGCATTTCCTGAGAGTTGAATAAAAAGTGGGTAAACCTGGCTACAAGGACCCGTTTCAATAATGGATACCAGATGAAGGGTGTGTGTATAGGTGTGTGTGTTTGGGTTGTATGCTGACGTGTGAGATTCCAGCTGTAAACCCCAGATGGAAAAAAAAAACTTCAGATACACAAAGACCACAGCTTTCTCTTGCTCAAAACTTTTTTGAAGAATTTAGGGGACGAGTTGAGCTCTATCCAGAGGTTGTTTATTTTTAGACACAGGGCGATCTCAAAGACACAGAAGCTCTTCCAATGTAAACATTTTCTGAAACACTGAGGACTTGTTTAGACATTCTTAAGATTTTTTTTTTCTTCCCAGACCATAAACTCCCCAAACGACACCTACAACATCTGCAGACCCTGACATGGCAGCTCACTCCAGAAAATCATAACAACAAATGATTTAAGTAACACAAATGCAGAAAGAGTATGACCCAAATCAAAAAAGATGTTTTCAAGTGTGAACTTTTGAACATTATCATGAGTCTTACCTTGACTTCACATTTCTTGTGGCAAGCTATCCGGCACACTGAAACAAAAATAAGCGAGAAGAAAACAAAATTAGTTTTAAAGTCGATAAAAAATCTTTCCAAACATTATGAAAAGTGTAAGTATCGTGACACTAAGCGGTTGTCACGGAGGTATGAAATGGTCCACTCAGATCCCACAGTGTTTGCTCTGCGGTTAAAGTCAGCTGGTTAATACCTCTCAGTGTTCAGCTACCTCCTCTCTCAGGTCTCAGAGGCCTAATCCACAATCCTGAAAGACCATGTTGGACTCATTGATTGAATAATGTTAACAAGAAGAACATGTGGTGGTTTGAAGGTTCTCTAAAATGTTCTATTGAACCCACTTTATAGTAACCAAACAATAAACAATAACCAAAACTGTATATTTTATTATTACATTTCAGGTTATTCCATTGATTAGAAATTGAAACGTTTTGTATGAAAACAGCTGAAATGTTAAAAAAAGTCTAACCAAACAAGATCTGATCTATCTGACAGATAAAACATTCTCTGTCGTGATCAATAATTTATCCTCCTCCAGTGCTCCAATTTTGTGTGGTGTGCCACAAGACTCCATACTTGGCCCCCTTCTCTTTCCCTTTTACATGCTGCCACTAGCAGAAGTTATATCTGCAAAGTGTCCTTCCACTGTTATACAGATGCCCTACAAATCTACTGGTCTCTTAAACCAGGCATGACTAATGTGGTTGTCTCTTCTTTGTACTGCATAATGGATGTTACACAGTTTTTGAGTCACAAAAAGACTGAATGTATTTTATTCTGTGGCTTGCCCACTACAGATGTCAGTGCCTTACTTTTGAAGCTAAATGCAACTGTCAGAAACCTAGGGGCAAAATTTAATCAGGAGCTTAAATCAATTAGAATAAGAAGAAATTGATTCTGTAGTCAAATCTAGCTTTTACCATCTACTGACCAAAGATAATTCTTTTTTAAATCACACTGCCTTAAAGAAGGCTATATGTGCATTTGTAATTTTTAGACTCAATAATTGTAATGAACTTCATAATGGCATCCATCAGTCTTCCCTAAGATCACTTCTTGTCCAGAATGCAGCTGCTCGTCTTTTAACCAACACCTTTCTGTGAGTATATCACCCATTTTATCCACTTCACATTGACTTCCTGTCCCATTTAAAATTAATTTTAAAATTGTACTGTTTGTTTTTAAAGTTCTTAATGGCACTGCCCCAACATTATCTGAACTTTTAAGCCTAACCGTACATGTGAGTTCCCTGAGGTCATCAACCAACTTTTATTGGACATCCCAAAGTCAAGGCTAAGCATCGGGGTGACCGGGCCTTTTCAGTGGCAGGACCCCAACTATGGAACAAAGCCCCTCTAGACCTTCACTCTACCTCTGACCTGGGCATCTTTAAGTCTAAGCTCAAGACTTATTTCTTTAGACAGTCTTTTAATAGCATGTAGCATAGCATTTTTTTCTTTTGTTTTTATTTGTGTTTTCTTTTATAGTGATGCGATTTTTACTGTCAGGTGCTTTGGTCACCTTAGTTAGTTGTTGTTCAGTGCTATATAAATCAACAATAACAACAACAACAACAACATCAACATTATTATTATTATTATTATTATTATTATTATTATTATTATTATTATTATTATTATTATTATTATTATTATTATTATATGGTTTAATTAATTCACTCCTTTTTGTGTGACTCCCCCTGTTTTGCCGGGCCCTCTCCTTGGACTCCCGTTGGGTCTACAAATAGGGGTCAATAGAAAGGAGCACCTGGACTGGCAGCTCATAAATTGTCAAAACATATCGAAGGACTGAGAACCAAAACACAGTTTGGTGTGCCGAGGTGTAGGCTTTCCAAATAAAGAGGAAAGCGTGTGCTTTTTCTGGAAGGCGCTACACCTTATGTAATGAGTTATTTTTCCTGTCCTGAGTCACATTTTCCAAAGCATTTGTATATCTCTGGGTAGCTGATAAATAATTGATATGAATGTGTGCACTGGCTGAGCTTTACATTGTGTCAAAGTGGAGATTATGCTATTTTAGCAGTTCTGTGATCAGTCAGTCTACATGCTCCCTTTAATCTACTGCTATGTTCGAGACACACAGGATGTTTCTTTAGCAATAGATTCTCTCCGAGTAACATTAATGGGAATTTTTAAATGATTGCGTAAGCTGGGTTTTGACGATTTGCAAGAAAGATACATAAGGATTAAAAAACTCAAGCCCTGTTCCTATAAGCGTGTTGATAAATTATAACCAACATTTGCTGCACCTTAGCTCTATGTAAGCAAAAACAAACAGAGCAGCAGCACGGGCTGCAGAGAAAAGATGTACGAACTCCAGTGTCAGAGGCAACTGTTGGAGTACTGCCTTAGGGATCATTTGTCAGCGTGATCTCACTTTAGAGAATCAAGGAAGGAATTCTCACTAAGTAACAAGGCTAAATGGCTAATCAGAAAACTATTCAAAATAATTTTTGTGCATCTACACTGCACCATTTCACTAAACATCTTGTCCTGCTTATAGAATAACTTTTTAAACAGATTTTTGAGGTCATTTTAAGACATGTGGTGCTTCCTACACCTACCTACCTACCTACCTACCTACCTACCTACCTACCTACCTACCTACCTACCTACCTACCTACCTACCTACCTACCTACCTACCTAC